CCCCACGAAACCGCTCGCCGGAGTAATGGGCCTGACGGCGGCGATTCACTGACACTTCAACTGCAATATATTCATTCATTTATTCATTTAATTTGCCGGCGTTGGCCTATAGATTTCAAAGAGCCACCCGCCGCCGTACATTTTGTATCTCCTCTCTGTACGTTTCATTTGTACCCCGCCATTTTTGGGGAGGTTAATGATAAAACTGTGGTGTGCTCGCCCAACGTTAGTTTTTTCAATATTTTGGGAATTTCATCCTCATATTTCTTCGTCTAATAAAAATAAAAATATAATAATAATAATAATCATAATAATACTCTCTCCCTTTCTTAAAACCCTTCCTCTTTCATTTTTTTTGTTTTTCTTAAACCACTTCCCTTTTCTATTAAAAAACCACTTTTACCCTTAATTTTTCATACCCTACCTATCACATCATACTTTTTCACTAACAACTAAACTATCACATCTTATTTTTACCCATCACATCAAGGGCAAAATTGGAAAGTCAACCTTTACTTTTTTCATAAAACCTTTCTCCTTTCTTCTTTCATTCGTCCCAAAAAAATACTTCTCATTTCAATAAAAAAGTCACTTTTACCCTTTACTTTTTCATATCCTACCTATCACATCATACCTTTTTACTAATAATCTATCCATCAAATCATACTTTTACCCATCACATCAAAGGACATTTTTGGAAATTCAATACTAAAATACACTTCCCTTAAATCCCTTTTCAAAATCAAAACTCCCATGTTTTACGGGACGGAGGGAGTACAATTTAACACTTCCTTATTTTCCCCCAAAGTTAAAAGAGAAACTCTTTTGAGAAACGGAGGTAGTAATAATCATCATAATAATGATAATAATAATAATAATAATAATAATAATAATAATAATAATAATAAATGGTATAAATAATACGGAGTATAACGATAAATCGATTAAATAAAGTTTCCTATTATTTATTTTGAATGAGGAAAAGTTTGTTACTCTAAATTTTACTCCCTCCACACCAAAATGATATTCCATATTTTAATGGCGTGCAAAATCCGGTGATTTTTAAAAATTCATTTTACTTACCAGAGGTGACACAAATATTTTGTTTTTTCAAATAATCTATAAAAAATGCAAATAAACAGAAATTATAAAGAGACCATAATACTACATATCTAAATGATCATTTTGGGAAGGAGGGAGTAAACATAATTTATGGTCAAAATTTTAAAATATGGACTATAACACATGTTAAAGAAATATGGTTAACAAAAATTTCAAAATCATAAAGAAAATTGTAAATTAATTATATCCAGATTTTAATAATTTACTTTAACTCTATAATGATAACTAAAATTTATTGCAAGGAGAAACGTTTTTAATAAATTGTGATATTAGATAATTTTTTATTTTATAGAGATAAGAATTATTTATAAAATTGGTAGATCCTTCAAAAAAAATTAGTAGTAATAATAAGAATAAAATTCGCAATGAAATTTTTGTTTTGTGCAATTTGGCAAACATTTTGGGAAACATTGATAAAAATTTCGGTTTTAGTCATCAACACTACTGAAACTAAATGCTACCAAATCGTCCCTTATTTGTTTGATATAAATTCATTTTTTATTTTAGAAAAAAACTTCCTACAAAACACTTCTCATAATTAGCTTTCTATGTACGCAGTAACGCTTTTGAGATTTTCCCTAAAAAAAATACACTTTTGTGAAAATAAACTCTAATACAACCTGTTTGGAAGTAGTATTAGAGATTAGCGTTTTGGATAAAATTTTAATAGTAGAATTACTTTGTAAACGCTTAACGATGTCGTAGATAGTCTTTCAAAATCACAACGTTAATCGCTAACTTCATACCTAAAGAGTTTCAAAAATGTCATTAGCTAAATAAATTAGGGTTTATGTTCATCATATGAGAAGAGGAAATGGAGAAGGTAAGGGTTACTGGGGTATTATATTTCAGGAAGAAAGTGTTGGGAAAAAGAGGGGAAAGACGAAAGCAGCTTCTGGTTTGGTCAATCATTAGATCTTCGTCCAATCGTCCGTCAGGGGGGTAGGATGATGATGGTGTCACGTGACGGATGGAAAACTCTTGTACAAAAGTACAAAACTATACTACCAAAGTCTCTATATGGCCCTACAAACCCAAGGACGTACCTCTAATTTATGGGAGACTACTCTTTGTTGTGGTTGGTTTTTTTGTGTGACATAATAATTTTTTTATGATCAATTAAATAAAAATATCACTTTTTAGTACTTTCTCCGTTTTTGAATATTTGTCTACTTTTTGTTTTTTTCAGTCAAAATTGATAAATTTTGATATTAGATTAAATAAAAATGATATTAGATATTGATACAAAAATAGTTTTATTAAATTTATTAAAATATTTGTTTTGGATGGTTTTATTTATTTATTTTTTGAAGTATTTTTAAAAGATTATAAAACAACGAGGTTAGTACTTCAATTGGATGAGTTATGTGTTAGAACCCCAAGGTGTTTGGGTTCAACCCCGACCTAGAACACTTCTTTTTTTAAAATATGATAAACAAGAATAGGACTATAAAATACTCCCTCCGTTCCACTAAACCCTTCTTCTTTCGTTTTTTTTGCTTTCCACAAAACACTTCCACTTTCTATTAAAAAACCCCTTTTACCCCATACTTTTTCATACCCTACCTATCACATCATACTTTATCACTAATAACCAAATTATCACATCTTACTTTTTCCCATCACATCAGGGGCAAAATTAGAAAGTCAACCAAAATTACACTTTCCTTATTTTTCCCCAAAGTCAAAACCGGAAGGGTTTTGTGCAACGGAGGGAGTATAAAAATAATGGGCCCAATCCAGTAGGACTGGCCGGCCCACCCTCAGGCCGGCCCTAGCACAGCCAAAAAACAAAATTGATCAAAATAATGGTAAAACAATAAAATATTTCTATTTCTCAATCATTTTGTTATGTGTATACAAGAGTATTTATACATGATGAAGGGTTAGGCCAAGAGTTTCTCTAGAGAATTCTAGAGTAAATATAACAAATAATAATTAATATATACATATAATTAAATATAATAAATATTATATTTAACAATAATTAATTTGAGACGGAGGGAACACTCAGAAAAAAAAAGTGAACTTTTCAATTTACGTAAAACATCAGTGTTATGTATAGTCATATTGGGGCAATTTTCTAATAGGCGTATATTTAAGGTCAACTTTTTATTTGAGAATTGGTGTACATTTGGAACCCATATTTGGGGTATCCCTAATATTTTTGTTTTCTAATATATTGATATGAGTTCACTTTGATTCTTAATTAAATAGGTTGTATGGTACTCTCTCCTTCCAAATTTTTTTTTCCAATTACTATTCACAAGATCAAATTTTATTCATTCTCTTTACATATTTTTGTTAGTTATTTCATAAAATAATATCGTCTTGTCGCCTCTTATTCCGTAGAACGTTTCATCTAAATTTTAAATATATAAATTTTATTCTTTAATTTTACATATATAATCAAATAAATTGAATTAAAGTCGGTCAAAACTTATAAACAAAAATGGTAAACGTTTTAGGGCAAAGGAAGTATAAAAGTTGATTCATTATTTTGAAAAACTAAGATCACACTTGTGCGTTGCACGGCTCCAATTATATTATTAAATTATATTCAGATCATTATTGAATAATAGAAATTAATATATAATAGAATATAAAGTTCAGTAAAGGATTGAATATGAAAATTTCATCTCTTTCACAGTGGAATATGTAATACTAATATTGATAAAAATTACATTTATTTTACAATCTCATAATAAATTTGAAACTTATTTTTTACTTATTGAACATCTTCTGAATGAGTTTAAATTTTTAAATGGATGAGATATTGCCCATTATTAAATCTTATTTTGTTTGTCCTTTCAAAAAAATCGTTATTCAAGACTATTTGAATTTTTTCCATTTATAGATAAGTATTTTTTAATTTTTCATTTTAGTTTATTTCATCAATTGATTTATTTTCATTTAAAAATATGTACTAAAATATACTATGTTGAATATTTATTTCTTGTCATTTTTAGATGAGTGTTTTTATAATAAAATGTATGTTTCATCTGTTGATTTATTTCCATTTATACTAAAATATACTATGCTGAATAATTACTTCTTGCCATTTTTAGATGATCTTTTTATACTAATAAGTAATTTTTACTCGTTGATTTATTTACATTTATATTAAAATTAAGTATGTTGAATATTTATTTCTGAATATTTTCCAAAAATAAACCCTATTGCAAGGCTATTTACTAAACTATTTATAATAATATATATTAAAGAAAAGACGCTTCAAAGTGAGATAAGGATGTCATTTTTGAGAAAAAAAACAGTGGAGGTAAAAGTTTGGGAAAAAAGCCAATAAGCACATGCACAACGAAACACCCCCATAATAAAAATATTTATATTTACTTCTTAATTAAAATTCATATATAACAAATTTTCCTATAATAAATGTAGACCATCCCTAGAAACTTTGTCCGGGATTAATAAAAATATTTATATTTATTTAATTATAAAAGTCAATATACAACAAATTTTCTTAAAATAAATATAGACAACAGCTAAACCTTTGATCATTATAAATAAAAATATTTATATTTATTTATTTATTAAAGTCCACATGTAACAAATTTTTCCTAAAATAAATTTAGACCACCCACTACAATTATATGATGATGGTGTTAATCTAAATATATAATAAGCTCTTTATATTAGAAAAAATGCATATATAACAAATATTCCTAAGATAAATCTAGACCTCTCCATATATAATAAAAAGCATATCTTTAATGAAAAAAATACAAATAATTATATATATATATATATATATATATATTAGTGCATCACTTTTCGTAGAAAGGTCAAAGTTTTGGTGGGGAAGGGAGAATCTAGTTTTACAGAAATTAAGTTTATGGATTATTGCAAAATATCCCACCGTACCTTTCAAAAAAAAGAAATACCCCTCCGTCGCAACTAGGAAAGTGAAGTGTAGGGCCTAGCTTAACTCACTCCACTCCAATCCACAACTTTAAATACTCATCATTTCATCATTTTCACAACCCATCCCTCTCTTCCTCAAACAAATCAAAACCTATCTAGTGAGAGAAACAGAAAAATACCCTTTTTGTTTCTTTCTCTCTATTCACCAAATTCAAAGCAAAACCCTAAAAATGATGAGCATCAGATCCGCAGTGTCCACTCTCATCCCCAAACAAAAAATACCCTCCCTCCAGTCTTACCTCCACAGCTCCGGCGGATTCAACCTCGGAATCCTCCACCCTCCCCGGAAGGACAAGCTCCTCGTCGTCTTGGGTACCACCGGCGCCGGTAAGTCTAGGCTCTCCATCGACCTCGCCTCCCGCTTCTCCGGCGAGATCATCAACTCCGACAAAATGCAGGTCTACCGCGGCCTCGACGTCCTCACCAACAAGGTCACCGACGACGAGCGCCGCCACGTCCCCCACCACCTCCTCGGCGTCGTCGACCCGAAAAAGAATTTCACCGCTAAGAACTTCTGCTTCGCCGCCACGGAGACGATCAAGTCGATCACCGCCCGGGGTAACCTCCCGATCATTGCCGGCGGCTCCAACTCATTCATTGAGGCACTCATGGATGACAGGGAATGCCGGTTGAGGTCAACCTACGACGTCTGCTTCCTCTGGGTCGACGTGTCCATGCCGGTACTCCACTCATTCGTGTCGGACCGGGTGGACAAGATGGTCGACTGGGGGTTGGTCGAGGAGGCCAGGTCGGCCTTCGACCCCAACAACGGGGACTACTCCACCGGCATCCGGAAGTCGATCGGCGTTCCGGAGTTCCACCGCTACTTCCAAGCGGAGGCCACGGCCGATGCCGACACCCGCGCCGCCCTACTCAAAGAGGCAATCGACGAGGTGAAGGTCAACACGTGTGTCTTGTCGAGTCAGCAGTCGGAGAAGATAAAACGTCTGCGGGACGTGCGGGGGTGGAAGTTGCACCGGGTCGACGCCACCGAGGTGTCCCGGATGAAGGCGGCCGGGGGCGGAAAGGACAAGGAAATGTGGGAGAATCAGGTGGTGCGGCCAAGTGCCACCGTCGTGACGAGATTCCTTCACAATAGGTTTGGGACGCCGATCTATGCCGATGCCTCAACCGCCATCAGATCGCCTGCCGGAGTAATGGGCCTAGCGGCGGCGACTCACTGAGACTTCAACTGATTGTGACTAATCAAACACCGACGAAGAGCCACCCAGTTCTACCCTTTATACTTTCTTTACAAATGTGCATGAAGATGTGAATCACCCATTAATTTTTCGGAAGTCAATGAAAGGATAGTACGAGTGGTGTGTATTGCTTGCTACTCAGGTGAATTTTTGGTGACTTCATTACATTTGTTAATTATAATTGTAATTTACGGAGTAATTTAATAAAATTTATATTACAATTCCAATTCCATATCATACCTAATTTGTGTAATTGTGACTTTATTTCAATTTCCCCTCAAATCTTCCTCATATCATAGGTTTTGAAATGCCAAATAAACTTTGTGCGAAGTTTTTTATTCTAGAGATACAACCACAAACATCATACTCCACTAAATAAGACTACGTTTCATTCACCTGATCTGATCTTTTAAAGTTTGATATGATCTCATCTAATCTGATCTGACAAGATCTGATCTAGTATAAATTTGATTTAGATTAAAATTTAAATTATTATAATAATAGTAATAATAATAAAATATTAATAATAGAAATAATAATAGTAATAATATAATAATACCAATGGTAATAATAATAATAATAATAATTTCTTTTGGATCTAATTTGATTGGACTTGATCTGATCTAGTTTTATCTGATCTGATTGGATCTAATCAGATTTGATTGATTTAATCTTATCTGATCTGATTTGATATAATTTTAACAATAAAAAGTAATAAGCAGAAAATATAATTTGAACGGAAGGCTGCCTAAGTTTTTTCACTCATCCAAAGAGGATGTAATTTTAAGAATATGATTGTATGAATTTAAATCAAAATACCCGTTCTTCAATTAAATAATTAAACATTTTTAGAAAGAACACAACCACCACCTTGGACCGATGACTACAATTAACGTAGCAGTATGTGATTAATTACACGGTACCCAAAAAATAGCTGACTACAGCCTCCTTGCCTCATGTTGACAGGGTAATTTGGCCTTGTCCTGGTAGCAGTATTTGCAATTCATTGCCGTCACCCGGCACCTAGGTAGCGTATGAACATTAGAAATCATCCTAAATAAGACTAAAACATAGAAAAAGTACTAAAATAGAACTCATATATTTTTATTCTCGAAATAAGATTTCGCACGTGGTAATATAGAGATAATGTGGCACTGTACAAGTGCTCATGACTATACTTTTTGGTAATATACATAAAAACGTTTGGTAATGTAAATGCATTTCAACTCCTATTTCAGAAATAAAAATATGAAAATTCTATTTGGGTATATTTTTAATGTTTTACTCATACTTTAGTTTTTTCCGTATGACCATTAGATCGGATTTCAAAATTCGAACAAGTGTTTTATCACCCTAAATCAACTTCGCGTTAACTTTGAGCGGCCTTAAACGACAACTTGCAAACATATTTGAGGCTATATAAACCCCATCTCAACTTCATTTTACTACCGGTGGGGCTTCCATTTGTTGTGAAGTGGATTAAGTACAATATCTTTTCTCTCACTTCTTAATAACTTTCACTTATTTATATAAGTTCATTGATTATATTATTTGATTGATAAAAATACAATCTTTCACATATTGTTCTGTAATATTTTTTATGTTTATTAATGTTATTTTTTTGATGTACCTTTTAGAAATACAATAATTTGAAAATGCGATGGGTAGGGTTTGGCCTATTGGCAAAAAAAATTTGTCGTCCTTAGATTTATGCTCATTTTGTGTACATTCACACATAAAATAATTTTTCGTATTGAGCCTGGTAAAATTAGGAAAAATCACCATGAAATTGTAAAAAATATTTTAAAAAATTCATAGTTTACAAGTGAACTTTGTAATCAGAATAAAATATAGCGGGGTTGTAAGTGTAGAAATTAGATAAAGGAAACAAAAGGCGGATGGGCCCGAATACAGTTAGATTTCAGTTTTAGGTAGGCAGCTTTTTAGCAAGATTGCGTGGCTGTGTGGGGCCGCAAAGAGACCTTTTGATGGCTGAGTTTTGTGGGAAAAGAGTTTTTATTCAGTCACGTGCCGCCATCATCCCCACACTATGCTTCGGTCCCCCCTTAAACATAATGATTGACCAATGCAAACCAGAAACTCCTTTCGTCTTTCTTTCTCCTCTTCTTCCCAATACTTTCTTCCTGGAATATAATTCCCCTTCTTCTTTTCAATCCCCTTTTCTCAATCTATACAACCCTAATATGTTTAACTTATAATGACAACTTTTATTTGTGATGGAAGATAACCCCATGTCAGCCTGGTATTGAGCCCAAGGCTAGCTAGACCCCACGCCAGGTAACTTCGGAGAGGACCCCATCAGAAAGGGACGGGCTCAGTCTATGGCCTCGGCTCGGTAGGGATGAACTCGGCTCGGGCCTCGGGCTCCTTCCTCCTCGGCACGGACCAGATAACTGTGATAGGAGGACAACAACTGGATGATAGGAATCGGGTGAAAGGAACTAGACTATAAGAGTCAGGTGACGTCTACTACGCGACAAGTACTCCCTCCGTTTCGAAAAACCCTTCTCACTTTGAAAATAAGGCAAATTAAGGAAGTGCAAAATTATACTCCCTCCGTCTCTAAATAAAGTTCCATTTTTGACTTTTTGAGGATTTAAGGTAGGGAAATTTTGGTGTTGACTTTCCAAAAATACCCTTTATGTGATGTGTTAAAGTATGATGTGATAGATATGGTATGAAAAATTAAGGGGTAAAAGGGTTTTTTAAGGGAAAAAAGAAGTTTATTTAGGGACAAAGAAAAAACGAAAGAGGAACTTTATTTAGGGACGGAGGGAGTAGTTGACTTCCAATTTTGCCCCTGATGTGATTGGTAAAAGTAAGATGTGATGGATTGATTATTAGAGAAAAAGTATGATGTGATAGGTAGGGTATGAAAAACTAAGGGTAAAGTGGTTTTTTAATAGAAAGGGAAGTGTTTTGATGGAAGTGAAAAAAATGAAAGAGAAAGTGTTTTTGAGAACGGAGGGAGTATAAGTTACAGGGGTTGACTTAGTTCTATTATGGAATCTATAAATAGGCCAATGCCTCTTCATTGTAAAGGATCTCATTTCAAGCCAATGATACTCCTACTTTGCGCTCTCTTTTGATAACTTTACTTACTCACGCTTACGAATTTTTTTGGCCCACAGTCGATATCACGGTGGTTTATCGCCATCAATTTTAAAACACTGCTCATTTTTTAAGAATAAATTAAAAAGTAAACTCCAAACACCGAGTATATTTTAAAACATAGCTCTAAAGTAAGTGTGTGGGAAATTGAAGATAACAAGGATTAATTTGAGAGTCGTGATAACACTTTTAGATTGATTATTTTGGGTGTTCAATCTAAAAATCAATTGGATAAAACTCAAATTATTGACAAAAACAAGTATGAATTGAGATGAACTTACGAACTCCCGTATGTCGACCAAGCCTTTTCCTAGATTCTTATAAATGCGGAAAGAAAGATGAGATGCGGTTTTGCCTATTTTCTAAATTTGCGTCTATTCGCTTGCCCCCTTGAAACCCCCGTTAAAACGGGATTTTTATAACTTTGATGTGTGGAGAAATCGGAAGAAATTAGATAAAGCTAGAAGGAAATGAAGAAAATTGTAAAATGGAAGGAACTTAAAAAATTAGTTTAAGTTAATATTTCATAAATTTTTTATAAATTTTTGTTGTTGTTGTTGTTGTTGTTATTATTATTGTAATTTTTATTATTATATTCATAATATGGAAAGAAAATGAATAAATTAAATTTGACCATGTGAATAGTATACATGCCAATTAACAACGATAAAGGGAGTAGTATAGTTATTTTTTAATTTAAAATATTGATGTTTCTTGATGTCAATTTAGATTAATAAAATATCAAGAATTTTAGTGTCATGTAAATTAATAAAGAAACAATTTTCTAATAAAAATGTACTCTGTATTATTCATATTGAACATGTAAAAAAAAAATAATGACTGTGAATCAAAAAAATAAAAACATGAAATGAATAAAAATAGAAAATACGAGTATGTATTTTTTATTCAACAACAAATTCCAAGGGCCTTACATTTACTCATCACATCCAAGAGTACTTTCGGAAAGTCAATAACAAAATAAATTTCCCTTTAATCCCTTAAATACGGAGTATGTAATTTTTATTTTTTCCCCCATAAAAATATCTGTTTGCAAATAAATCAATTTTTAAAAAGAGTAAAATTTTACACATAGTTCGAAGTGACACGATGTTTCTAGAAAGGGAAAGTCATTAGTCAAACAGTTAAAGTTATTAGGGCTCATGAGGAAAAGAATGGAAGAAAGTGTTGGGAAAAAGAAGGAGAAAGGTGAAAGCAGCTTCGGGTTGGGTGAATCATTAGATCTTCGATCAATCCGTCCATCTGGAAACTGAATCACTCACTGTGTGTGGGACTGTGGGCGGATGGTGGCACGTGATATATACCTATGGAGAAAACTCTCAAAGTCTCGTTTTGTGGCCCACACAGCCATGCAATCTTGTAAAAAGCTGCGGTATCCCCACATTCCTAATAAATCAAAAGTACAATCTTGAGCGTTAGTAACCCGTAGTTTGAAAAATAGGCATCAATACCCCCTGTTTTTAAAACTTATTTTTAAAATCCTTGGAGTTTCCAAATGTTGCACCCGTGATCATTTTCTGGTCATTTTTCCGGCGAAGAAGGGGGACATTCGTGCATATTTTCTAAACCATGGGGGGTACTAGTGTTGATTTTTTATTTCTCTCTTTTTTCCCATTTCTTCCTTTATTTGTTTCATTTATTAATAAAGGTTATTTTAAAACTACTTTTATAATGATCTTAAAATTTAAAATTATTTTTGTTTGAAAAAATTAACATATAATGCATCGGCACGTCTAAAATTAACAATTTTTATTTTTTCCTAAAAAAGGTAATTTTTTTAGAACTTCTAAAAAATGATGAATAAAATAAGAAACAAAATAATACAAAAATAAAAATGATTATCTTTTTTGGACATCTCAATTTTAAGGATATTTTTAGGCGTGTTCCAAAATTGTTTTTTGTAGAAGACTCTTTTTTTCGTATTTTAATTTTTTTCATTTCGTTTTTCCATATTTTTATTTTGGGTTTTCTTTTTGAACTTTCTAAAAAATTATTCTATGTAAGAAAAAGTGAAAATGTTTAATTTGAGATAGATGTAATGTATGTTAATTTTTTTATTAGTTCAAACAAAAAGAATTTTAAAATTTTTTAAAACATTATAAAAAATTGAAAAGAAATTTAAAAAAAATCTAGGAAAAGGAAAAAGAAGGAAAAACACAAATAATAAACGAAAAATAAGAAATGAGCACGAGTGTCCCTTATGGTTTAGAAATTATGCATCAATGTCCTCTCTTCACTGGAAAATGGCCGGAAAATGATCAGAAGGGGTGTGGGTGCAATGTTTTGAAACCACAAGGACTTTAGAAATAAGTTTTGAAAACAGAGGGGGTATTGGTGCCAATTTTCCAAACCACAGGGGGCACCGGAGCTATTAGGCCTCTCTCTTTCTTTCTTTTTTTTTAAATTTATTTTGTTTAGTTGTGGGGGTGTAAATGGATAACCGAAAATCCGATTACCGTCCGCATCCGTATTCGTTTAAATGGAAAAAATCCGCATCCGTTTTAAACGGATATTATCCGTATCCGATTAAGCACATCCGATTGATAAACGGATGCGGATTTGGTAATTACTGATCCGATCCGTTTAAAATCTGATCCGTGTATACATCCGTTTATATATCCGCATATCCAATTATCCGATCCGTTATACCAAATATAGGTAATAAAAAATTATCCGTAGTTAAAAAAAATTATCTGTAGTTTAGACTAATTAATATTTTTATGTATAAAGTATACTCCTAGTTTTCTAATTTCTACTCAGCCCACTAAGCCTAGGCCCAAAACCACTATTGAGACTTGGGGTATTGATTAAACCTAAATAATACCTAATACGGAGCACTTTTTTCCGGAACTAGCATCCAGCGACCAACTGACCTAGCGGCGTCGTCTTCCTCAGCTATTTTCCGAATCTAGCGACCATTTCAGCGAGTCTGCGGCTTCAGCTCAGCACTTCATGATGTGATTTAACTGATTTTACTTTTTGGTTACAAATTTAGATTTCATGTTTTACAATTTTTGTTGGTTGTTGCAAGGTCAAATCTCTTTGTTGTTTGATTTGTAGATTCAGAAACTTGGTTAAGGATGTAAAGCTTTTAGTTGTGCTTGGTTGATTTTAGATTTTTAGATTTTCATATTACATATTCGGATACGGATACGGTTTTTCCTTGTGAATCGGATGTTTTATCGAATCTAGAAACGGATTTGGATTCGGATTTTTTACTAGTCGGATGCTCCATCGGATNCGGTTTTAATACATCCGAAACGGATATTATCCGTTTACACCCCTAAGTTGTACTACCTCCGTTCCAAATTATTTGTCACATTTCTATTACGGAGGCAAAACATAAAAAATTTATACATAAAAAATTTACTCCCTCAATTCTCAAAAATACTTTCTCTTTCATTTATTTCACGTCCAACAAATCACTTCCACTTTTTTATAAAAAAACACTTTTACCCTTACTTTCTTCATACCTTACCTATCACACCACACTTTTTCTCTAATAATCTATCCATCAAATCTTACTTTTATCCATCACATCAAGGGCAAAATTGGAAATCAACTACAACTTAATACTTCCTTATTTTTACAATTTATTAAACTAGGAATTCTTTTTTAGAACGGGGGAGTACAAAATAAAAGGCAGCATCACTATACGTGCAAGAATTGAAAATTTGTTTTGATATCATTATAAAACAATAGGAAAATGATTCTTGTATATTTCTATACGTTTGATTGCAAAAAGTCTTCCCAGGGTTTTGTTTCGTAGCAATGATTTGATTGAATCTAATCTAAATTTTTGAAGATCTTATTATATTTGATCTAATCTGATGAGATCTTATTTGATCTGATTAAATCTGATCTGATTGGATATGATATGATCTAATTAGACAAAATTTAATAATTTAAAGTATTATAATACATGTACACATAAAAAAGAAAAATAAAAAATCGTTGACAATAACTTATTCTTTTTCCTAAACTGACCCTTGGGTATATTAAATATTTTTAAGTATAAAAATAAGTCTTTTTAAGTATAGAAGTTTTTATGGTATTAAAAATTAATTCTGATATGATCTAATTAGATTTGATCTGATTTTAATAAGAATAAGTAATAAGTCAGAAATATGGCCGATATCTAAACTTCCCAAAATACTCTTCCTTCGTCCCTTAAAAGCTTTCTTATTTTGACTTTTAATTAACTGATTTAAGGAAAAAATATTTTAATACTCCCTCCGTCCCAAAAAGTTTGTTACGTTTAGAAAAAACTGTGTCCCGTAAAGTCCGTTACATTTCTATTAAAAAACCACTTTTACCCCTTACTTTTTCATACCCTACCTATCACATCATACCTTTTTTCTAATAATCTACCTATCACATCCTACTTTTACCATCACATCAAGGGTATTTTGGGAAAGTCAATACCAAAATATCTCTCCCTTAATTTCCCAAAAAGTCAAACCGTCCCATTCTTTTTGGGACGGAGGGAGTATTAATTTTTCTCAAAATAGACTTGATGTGATGAATAAAATTAAGATATAACGAGCTGATTATAAGTAATTCAATATGATATAATAGTTATCTTTAAGATTAATAGGAGCAAAAGTAATTTTTTTAATAAATTTTGAAACATTTTTTGGAAGGGATTAAAAGAGATGGTAATGCCAACATTGTTTCAATCCCATAAATTACAAATACATACGGAGTATGTGATACAGTTCCACCCAAAAAAACTGAAATTTTAAACTACCGATGAGTATTTACTTCAGCCTACGCCACGTTCTATCCTTAATAACTTCCCAAAAAATATGCACATAATAAAGAAAAGGAAGTATAAAGGGTAGGGTTTGGGTGGCTCATCGCCCTTTGATTAGTCCCTCTGCTATGGTAAGGGTGAAAAGTAACAGTCTGTCGGAGTCTCAGTGTATCGCCGCCGTAACGCCCATTACTCCGGCGACCGGTGCGATTGGGATGGCGGCATCCGCATAGATCGGCGACCTCAACCTATTGTGAAGGAATCTCGTCACGATGGTGGCGCTCGGCGCCACCACCTGATTCTCCCACATTTCCTTGTCCTTGCCACCGCCGGCCGCCTTCATCCGGGACACCTCCGTTGCGTCGACCCGGTGCAACTTCCACCCCCGAACGTCCCGCAGCCGTTTTATCTTTTCCAGTTGTTGGCTCGACAAGATGCACGTGTTCACCTTCACCTCGTCGATTGCCTCGTTGAGGAGGGCGGCGCGTGTGTCGGCATCCGCCGTTGCCTCCGCTTGGAAGTAGCGGTGGAACTCCGGGACCCCTATCGACTTCCGGATGCCGGTGGAGTAGTCCCCGTTGTTGGGGTCGAAGGCCGACCTGGCCTCCTCGACCAACCCCCGGTCGACCATCTTGTCCACCCGGTCCGACACGAATGAGTGGAGTACCGGCATGGACACGTCGACCCAGAGGAAGCAGACGTCGTAGGTTGACCTCAACCGGCATTCCCTGTCATCCATGAGTGCCTCAATGAATGAGTTGGAGCCGCCGGCAATGATCGGGAGGTTACCCCGGGCGGTGATCGACTTGATCGTCTCCGTGGCGGCGAAGCAGAAGTTCTTAGCGGTGAAATTCTTTTTCGGGTCGACGACGCCGAGGAGGTGGTGGGGGACGTGGCGGCGCTCGTCGTCGGTGACCTTGTTGGTGAGGACGTCGAGGCCGCGGTAGACCTGCATTTTGTCGGAGTTGATGATCTCGCCGGAGAAGCGGGAGGCGAGGTCGATGGAGAGCCTAGACTTACCGGCGCCGGTGGTACCCAAGACGACGAGGAGCTTGTCCTTCCGGGGAGGGTGGAGGATTCCGAGGTTGAATCCGCCGGAGCTGTGGAGGTAAGACTGGAGGGAGGGTAATTTTTGTTTGGGGATGAGAGTGGACACTGCGGATCTGATGCTCATCATTTTTAGGGTTTTGCTTTGAATTAATTTGCTTTTGGTGAGCTGAGGAAATGAAATGTAGAATTCTGAGTCTCTCTCTCTGTCTAGATTGGGGATGAATTAATATTATGGGAATGAGAGGGATGGATGAAGTGAGTATTTATGGTAGCTTGTGGATTTGAGGGGAGTTACTTCATAGGCCCTACTTCCATAAAATATTATTTCTGTAAAATCAATTCTCTTTCCATATAATACTCCCATGAGGTTTTTTGTACTTCACTACTTCCCATCAAATTAAGGGAGTGATATTGCTATTACAACTTTTCTTATTAGTACTCCACTTTCATTTATTTTCTAAAAACTCCCTAAAACTTTTTATATTATTTTATAAAAAAATAGGGAATAGCAAGTAATTATAGATGGATTGTAATCTTACGCAAATAAAATTAGTATAAAATTGTTACACTAATTCAATTAAAAAAATAGGGAATAGCAAACTCTTACTCCCACTGTCCCGGAAAACATGAGAGTTTTGATTTTGAAGAGGGATTTAAAGGCAGTGTATTTTGGTATTGAATTTTCAAAAATGTCCTTTGATGTGATGAGTAAAAGTATGATTTGATAGATAGATTATTAGTAAAAAGGTATGATGTGATAGGTAGGGTATAAAAAAGTAAAGGGTAAAAGTGACTTTTTAATAAAAATGAGAAGTGTTTTTTGGGACGAATGAAAAAAGAAAGGAGAAAGGTTTTCAGGGACAGAGGGAGTATATTTTTGATTGATTATACTCTTTTTATTATTCATTATCGATCATCTTAAAGTACGTTGTTTACATTCTTTGCAATCCAATTTAAGTTAATTCAAATATCTCTCGACTCGGAGATACGACCCAAAGTTGATTCGGAAATCCAGTTTTTAGATCTAAGTAAAGTTAATTTTAGAGAAAATTATTCAAAATATAATAAAAACATTGGCACTTTGTGCAAATAAGATATGATAAATTTTTTATTTAACATATTTACTTCAATCGTTTTCTTCATCTTCTTCTTATTTCTTTTATTTTTTTCGCCTTTATGGCCACAATTAGTATATGGCTATTCATCGATCCAAAATTGGGTCAAATCAAATCAAACAGAATGAATTTCGGGCCAATCTTCGATTTCGATTATATTGGGGATGGATGGTTATAGGGGTGATGGTGGGGCACGTAGTGGGGAAAGAGTGGGATCATAGCGAAAATTCAATAATAAATTAGATCTTCATTTTTTGGATCATTTTGGTTTCGGTTTCAATTCATTCGGTTGACAAAAATAATGTTGTTACATGTCCAAAGGTGTGATGGTTTCATCTCGATTAGCACTATTTACATAATATCCCTAACTCAATTACGTTAATTAACCCACCACTCTGTATTGCGCGGTATTTTTCAAAAAGAAAAATTAGAAAGTGCGATTTTTATTTTTTATTAAAGCCAATGGTGATCTAGTTCATATCTAAAAGGTCTATGACAAAGACCTTATCGTTCAATTCAACTCCATCAACATGACTTTTCTAAATGGGAGGTCATGACAATGCCAGTTCCGAGTAAGAGAGTAATGACTCTTTATTCTTAGAAAGTTGAAAAAGTATATTAGAACGAATAATTCATACATTGTGATAGGCCAGAGGTTTTATCAACAACAACAACAACCCAGTTAAATCCTACAAGAGTAGGATCTGGGGAGGGTGTGTGTATGCAGACCTTACCCCTACTCGAAAGTAGAGAGGCTGTTTCCAAAGAGACCCCCGGCTCAACGTCGAAAGTTACATTGCTTGACTAACTGCTACTTCATTAATTAAAGAAGTGCAGATAGTTTAGAGATCCATTTTGATTTATTCCATCACACCCCAAAGCTAAAAAATGGTGAAATCTTGGCTCCATCGGAGATGATGGAAAAGGCCAGGGGAGATGTATCAAAATAAGAGTAAAAGAGTTGTTATATTCCAAAATAGGAGTTGAAAGTTAAACCCCCCTAAATAGGAGTAATTAACTTTACAATGACTACTTTTAACCCCAAAAACTAAATCCCAATCTAAACTTCTTATTGGCACATGTTTCAATCTCAAGAAATTAAAAGTCACCTCATGCATGAATTTTCAAATCCGTTGTTTCCAATTAGGACCTCGGTTGCCCCTCTTTCATGCAATTTCCTCTTTATTTAATTATTTTTTTTAAATTATAAAATTTCATACTCTTTTACACACTCATACACTCCAAGCCTCTACGTCTCGACCTCCGGCAACTCTAGAAATTAGAAAAAAATCAGCAATATAAAAAATGTAATTTAATTTATTTTAAAACCTCATCATTTGCTTAGATCACACCAGTGCTTCTTCAACTCTTCCATGGGAACATAATGTTGTAACTAGAAGCTCCAGCGCTTGACTATGCGGACATTGCCTTTGCTTTACCAAGTAGTTTCCCAAACTCTCACCCAAATCAATCGTATGATTATTAAAGAAAAACTTCATCAACATAACCACTATGCGTGTTGTTGGCAAGAACTCTCGTTCGGTCATGTTGATTTACAGTAACTTGTTATTGAATCATTAACAAAACTGAATCGACAAAAAAATAACAAATTTGAATGTAAACAAAACTAATCCAATAACAAAACACACCCAAAACTTCATCAACAAAAATGAATCAATACTTTACATATAGAAACTTAATAAATTGCTAAACTAAAATGTCCATACATTACCAAAAAAGACCACACTAAATGTTAAATGTAATCATATAATGACAATCATGTCAATATATGATGTCATACATGCGAATGCATAATACTAAACAAATTAAATAGATAATGCCAACCTTGACATTGTATAATGTCATTTTTGGTAATATATAACAATATAAAATGAAAGATATGTCAATGTATAATGTTATATATCATAGATGTTAATGCATAATGTCAAAAATGGCCTTTGATATACTATGTGATTGTGGCATGACTTGTGCCTCCTTGTTTGGTGGATCTTGATCCTGAGCAGTGAGTACGTCTTCAACATGCATGATGTCCATTTTTTAATTCCTTCTTCATCACAACAGGTTTCTTTGAAAACTATCTTTGATAGATCATTGTAGCCTTCATCAAACACCTAGCCGACTTCTCTATAGAGGGAAATGAAAGCAAATCTTTGAGTTGCTTGATCGAGCTGCAGACTCTAGTTATGAGAATTCTTTGTTATTCCTTCTTCGTGCTCAGTCTTGTCACTTAATTCATTGTTTCCTATCTCTTGATTATAAAAAAAACACATATTTAATTAATTACACATATTTGGAGGAGTTTAAGATTGAACTCCTATTTTGAAGATATGATCCATGTTTTACTCCTATTTAGGGGGTTTTCTTAAAGGCGAGAGGTTTTATCCTTGTACTAATTAGGGTTCAACATAAAACGAATTGGAAGAAACGAATTAGGGCACAATTCAACAGAGAAGCTAAGAAGGAATGGGAGGGGGAGAAATTTCAGGAAGAAAGTGTTGGGAAAAAGAGGAGAAAGACGTAAGCAGCTTCTGGTCTGGTCAATCATTAGTTATATCATTCCCTCGTCAGGGGGGGGGACCAAAGCATAATGTGTGGATGATGGTGGCACGTGACACACGGAAAACTCTCTTCTACAAAGTCTCCTTTTGGACCCACAAACCCATGCCTAATTAGTACCCCAAAATGCAATCTTCCCAAAAAGCTGCCGCACCCCTACACACCCCCCAAAAGCGCAATCTAAATAAACTATACGCCTCCCCGGGTCCATTTCCAAACTCCTTTTTGTCTTCATTTGTACTCTCTTGATACACGAAATTGACAGAAATGAAATTAAGTTTTATAGAATCGATTTGGATGGAATTGAATTTTTTAATTCGAATTTATTTTTGCCACTATGAATTCCTAATCCACATTTTTTGTATTACCAAATAGTAGATTTAGAATTATTTTCACCACATATAATTCTATAGTTTGAATTTCGTATAGAAAACAGAGCCTTGAAGTGATTTTATTGAGATGAGAGTGAAATTGTTGAAAAATGGTGATGTAGAAAAGAGGAAAGTGAAGAGAAAGTTTAAAATAGATAAGGAGAAGAAGGAGAGAGAAGGGGAGGGGGAATATTGTACATTCCTGGGAAAGAAGAGAGAAGAGAAATAAATGGAGGTAAAAAAGAAAGGAGGAGAAAGAAAAAAAAGAAGAAAAGGGGGGGAAAGGAGAGAGGAGAAATGTGAAAAAGAAGTTCTGGTTAAATTTTTATAATGGTAAGATTTTTTTAAAACTACCACTCCCGCCGTCCTAAAAACTTCTTTCACACACTTTTTTTCCTGTCCCAAAAATTATATATTTGCTCATATTTATTCTCAACTTATCTATCACATCATACATTTGTATTAGTAACCTACCATCACATCTTATTTTTACCTATTATATCAAGGATATTTTTAGAAAGTCAACATAAAAATATTTTTTCCTTAATTTTCTTAAAAGTCAAAATGAGATCATGTTTATGGGACGACAATAGTGTTTTCTTATTCAATCTCATTTTTGGTGGAATATATGTATATACTCCCTCCGTCCCCGAAAGAACTTTCCCTTTCGTTTTTTCTTTGCCCCCAAAAGAACTTCTTTTTTCTATTAAAAAAACACTTTTATTCTTTACTTTTTCATATCCTACCTATCACATCATACCTTTTTACTACTCCCTCCGTCCTAAAACTTTCTTCCCGTTGCGTAAAACGATGAAAAATCCCAAATTTTTTCAATCTATTTTATTTAAATATTGGTATAGAAATAAAAAATAAAATATACATATTTAAAAACTACATCAAAAGTTCAACAAAACAAGTGGTGACAAGAATAATTTATTTTATCATATAGGCCATGAAAAAACACAAATAAATACAAATTCCCATGATGTTGGAATAGTGCTCTGGGAAGAAAATTTTAGGACGGAGGAAGTAATAATTTAGATACCACATCTTACTTTTTACACATTACATCAAGGGTATTTTTGGAAAGTCAACACAAAATATCTCTCCTTAAATTCTCAAAAAGTCAAAAAGAGAACTTTATTTGGGGACGGAGCAAGTATTTTTAAAAACTACTCCCTCCGTCCCATAAAACCTTTCTCCTTTCTTTTTTCATCTGTCCCATAAAACAC